CAGCCGCTTTTACCACCGGCTAATTAACCTCTTTTTTTTTTTTTTGCTTCTTTTCTTCTAGTTATATACCTGAGGGGGGAAAAGTCCAAACCAACGGAGAAATCGCACGGATCAATTCCGGGGATGGCCTTTGATATCGCTGAAGCACTTTGTACTCCTTTTACCCTCCCAGTTTCTCTATTCTCTGCTCTTAGAAAACTCGAGAAAAAGAGACGAAATTTATTTTGGAACGACGAAAGGAGGGGGAGAAATGGAGGGGCCGCGGCAAAACAACCTAGGAGGGTAGAGTAGGAAGTATCTACTCCGTAATGATATGATAGACGCAACACGCCACCACCGAGGAGGGCTAAAGTCCAAGACGATGAGATCCAATCGAGGGACTACGGACTCAATTCAACTGTATCAGGAATGAAGGGGATGGGAGAAGTGGGAAGAAACCTGAGAGAACAACAGCCAACTCGAGGTATAATGGTATTCAAACCTTAGGCATGAAAGTGTCACTGTCACAGTCCAATCATCGACTGGCGGTAAATGCACCAGTCCAGTTAGTAACCATCACATACCGCTGTTCATTAAGGTAAATGAACGGTACCACGTATGAATCCTACTCCATTCTTCAAGCACCTGTATTACATGACTCGATGATATCACCTTTTGCTAATGGCTGTCATGTATCGGAAATATGGCTGCTTGACGCCGCCATCCATAGTTCCCCTTTGAATTCACCTTTTTGTTACCCCTCTCAACCTCTTTGAACTATCCAAGATACGTATACTACCATCCGCATCCGGTTGGCGAGAGATTTACAAAGAAAAACACCAAAAGAAAGCACGTGCATTGCAACGTTTCATCTAAGTCTAGTCATAATCTCATAACGTCTATATAAACTCCTAAAGAGACTTCTAGGGTAGTCGCTGACTCGAAATATGTACGGCTCTGTGGAAAACATAGCGACTTGATATGCTGAAATCCGCTTACCCGCAGGATGAGGGAGCATAATGCTGGTCGACTCACATACCCAATAACAAGAAAACAGTTCCCCGGCGCTTCTAGCCGGAGATGCGGCAGACGCGTATGCGCATAACCTTTTATGGACACGTCACATAGTGCTTGATTCGGGATCGGGCCGGATGGGACATCCGCGTAGTCTGGTATCCTCTTCGGTGGCAGTATGTAGGGGCTCAAACGCCCTGTACAAGATGACAGGCAACAATCATGGTAGATTGTCCCATATGCCAAATATATTAGTGGTATCCCTGAACACGTATCGAAGAATGTTGGAGAGACTGGAAGTATTCGGGACCACCTCACGGTTGTTTCGAGTGTCCTTCTGATTCGGATTCATTTTCCAATAGGCCTTGTCCATTGTCTGGAGCTGGATGGCCCCCGTTAGGCCCATCTACTGGTTCGGAATTGACTTTGTCCAACCTATAATTCTTCATCAAAAGACTCAAGGGGATCAATGGTATCGTCGCGATCAGCGCTAACACCAACAGCTTATTCATAGTCTCTTGATAAGATCGATTGATGGCAATTCTAGCCGGTGACCCTATAGGGAAAGATAGTGCCTTGTCCAATCTCCCAAATATTTCTTTAGCATCCCCCTTATTCTCATCAGGGAGGTAACGCCGCAACTTCCGCGGAATGTTGTGCGTCCAGACGGCCCCCGAGATCGCGGCGCCAACTGCACCACCCATCTCCATAGATGTCAAAAACATTGCCGTAGCAGCCGCAACCTCCTGATGGCTAGCAGACGCCTGAACTCCCAGCTGAACAGGCACGTTGAGGAGGCCGCCTCCCATACCCACCACAATCTGTGTCCCAAGAATTAGCGTTGATGAGCTCCCTTCTTTGCGGTAAAGCATCATCAAAAGAAGACCAATCATGTAAATCGCGCTTCCAATGGTCACAAATATTCGATAGCGTCGTGTGTATTTGATCAATAAGGACACTGAGAAAGCAGCAATGGTCGACGTAAACGCAAACGTCTGCGTCACACGGCCAGCCGTAGCGACATCATATCCTTGGACCACTTGAAGATAAGAGTAAAGATACGGTTGAACCGAGAAATAGAATGCCACTGGATGATGTTAGGAAAGAAACGTACGAGGACGGTAGTGGGGGGTAACCTACTGAAGTACCAAAAAGCTAAAGCGCAGCCAGCGAGTGCTGTACGTTGTCTGAGAAGGTGTAGGGAGAGAAGTGGTTTAGGGGCAAATCTTTTCGAAGTCTCCCAAAGTGGCAGCGCCAGTAAACAAACTATACCAACCGCAATCATTGCGAGGATGCTGTCGTTCTTCCAGCCGTCTTTAGCATTGGCGGCAAGAGTGAGAGGCACCAAGATCAATGTAACTGCCGCCGAAAGAAGTATCAAACCAAACATGTCCAGATCGTACCACGTGCGGCGGACAACAGCGATGAAGCCACCCCGAGGGGTGTGCTTTTGCTTGATGAGGTTTAGTCTTTTAGCCTTGCGTTGATTCAACAATAACGTCAGCGCTAACGGAAGAAACGAAGCAGGCAATATGATTGACCACATCCCGTAACCCCAACGCCATGACGAATGGTGTATCACTGCATCAGCTATTGCTGGTCCAATCCAAACTGTAACCAGAAACGGAAACTCTGGCAAGAGCGCTAGAAATGCCCTGTTGAGAAGGCTACTGCTGTCCGCAATGAACACTTGTTGGAGGATCTGCAAACCCGTCGAACCGGCGGAATAGAATATCTGAGCCGATGCATAAGTTTGAACATTGGTCGAAGCAGCCATTTGTATATAACCAAGAACATATATCAAAATGCACACGCAGAACGCTTCGAAGCGACCGAAGACATCGGCTATCTTAGCCATGGGAGGCTTGATCACAGCTGCATACTTGTCAGCTGACGGAGAACAAACCGCATGATGTAAGACTACCCACCATTGACGACATTCTGGACAACAAGAACAGTTGAAATCAATGAGTGCTTGCTAAATGCGCTGGTTGCATAAGCAGAGAGGGACATGGTGGTCTGGCCCTCTAAAGAAGTACAAAACGCCATAAGGAATATACTATAGCAAGTCAGTGAGACCAGACCACTTTCATCAAGAATACAACCATGCTGTACATGGCAGGCATACCTGACATAAGCCACAACCAAAGACTTTGTTGTCCAGGTCAAGCTGATGGCTTCAATCTTCCGAACCCCTTCCTGCACCGAGTCATCAGATGTTATCTCGCTACTGTGGTCATCGCTTTCGTATCCCGCGGGAAGGAGGTGCTCTCCTTCGTGCTGATCGCGCCTCTCCATTTGATCGAGTGTGCCATATGAGGGACCTGAGTGGGCGTCAAGTAAGGGCATCGCGGCTGAGCCGAGAACGTCACTGAAGAATCTTGGACAACAGCACCGCGAGTAATGTCCATTTATCGGATACGACAGCCGAGGCGGTAGTAACGTCCGGTGGAGGCACGAAGGTGAAACGACACTGAAAGTTTCACAATCGAAGGACCCGGGTTCGAAAGGTTTGGTGTATAGGCCGAAATACTTGAGTTGATGAGGGAAGATATGGACGATCTGAACCAGCCAGACCCAGAAAATGCAACACGCGACTAGTCAAATGAGGGTATCTCAGGGGAATGGAAAATGTACCAGGGGAAGGATTATCGAAAAAAAGAAAAACGAAGAAAAAAACCCCAGGGAGAATTGAAGAACAGTTAAGTGAGACGTCAGGTTGGGTATCGGATTCGCAAGTTCGTTAGGTAACTGATACGGATGACGGCACGCGAATCGTCAGATCTATCGTACAAAGGGGCAGAGCTCTAAGCAGGACTCTAAACCCGGCGTGCTTCAGACCAATCGACTCGATCGACAAGGGACACTTATGCACGCCGACGTGGGATGGGCCACAGGTTTAGCCTATGGGCCGAACGCCCGAGGCCCAAAATGGTAGGGCGGTTTCCGGTGTACTGAAGGGTTGGTAGAGTGATGCCTATATTATTCCACTTGATATAATTCGAATGAATTTGGAAAGTCTCACTCGAGACGGCGGAGTCGTGGAAGAGCTTATCCCTCGGACTCGAGCGCACATTGACCCCTCAGTCATAGATGTGAGCGCACGGAGCAGTACAGGACATGCGTATCGCGCAGTTGTCCTCTGTCTGTGTACTCAAGCGCAGAGGATCAATGTAAGTTCGAGACTGATCAGGGGAAGAAAACTAGATTGCAGCCGAAAATGGTGAAGAAGTGGGGAGGAAGTGGCAAAGCGACCAGGATGAGGGATGTTACGCAGGTGGATAAGACTTTTGAGAATCAGATATGATAAGATCACCTGGTTCGGTCCGAACGGAAGCTACGGATTCCTATAGGTTGGCTCCTTACCCTGCATCGGGACATCAGTCGGATGTGGAATGACTGCAATGATATTTAATTCCCCATTGAAGGTCTCATGTATGGGGGAATATCAACATTTAAAATACCATTCTGTCTGTTTTTGGGTTGTCACTTTTTCTTGGTACAGACAGTCAGCTGATGAATCACTCTGGAATGAAAGCTCCTCCGCCATTCCTCCCCCTTGCAGCACTCGAGAAATACTGAGTCGGACTTTATTGGTCTTTCTGGAATAGTTCGCATGACTAGGTTCAGTGAGTCAAAACGGCCAAGAAGTAGGAATGGTACCAATATTACTCCGTATACAGCCCCTATTCAACTATATTGGACGTAATATAACGATCTCTCTGAGCAGAAAATGACCTAAAGCCCCACGGTCCAGTCTCATGATTGGGGGAGATGACATCGGGTCATACCGCTCAAGGATCATCCAACTAAACAACTCATGTCATGTCTTTTTCTTTTTTTCTTTTTTTTTTTCTTTTTTTTTTTTTTT